AGCCGTTTAATTTATTATGTTTTCTTAATCAAATATCTATGTGTATTGAAGTTTACATCTTTGTTTCCTATTTTCAAGTTTGCATGATTTAGATGACCAGTTTGATTGTATATGCTTGAATCATAATTGTTCATGACCATTAACAAGTATAATTAAAGATGGATCTATCCCTAAGACCATGTCAATAAAGAACTGAACTTTAATGCATATATCTTGCATTACATGACCATTCTATGCATCAGTTAATTGTCATGACCATTGAGATTAATTATAAGATTAGTTCTTACATAAACACTAGATTTAGGGATGATTAGTTTACATTACAATTGTGATTACAATCCTTATTATCATAGGATTAGTGAACGGACCAATGGATCTAATCAGCTTAGAATTCAATAAATAACAACCAATATGCATTGTAGTTTGTATGAATAGCCATAATTGCAGGGGAAATCAAATCTAAGTGAAAGTATCTTCATCATTCTTGTTTCCAATTTGTTTTCTTGTGTATTCTACTGTTTGCATTGCTCTCTATTTTAAAGTTTAGAGTTTTAGATTCAAAAACTCAAATCTCTAACTTTTAATTATTTTTAGTTTAACTGAAAAGTTCTTATCTGAATTAAATCTACTTGTTCGTCTAGTGTTTGACAACCCGCTCTTACCTCAGCTATTAATGAGCTTGCCTCAACTATGTTGTTAAATGATTAGATAAACTTGTCTAATTATGTTAAGAGTCCCCAATTATGTTATTTCATTTTATTAATTTAAGACCAGATTAAGACACATCATTTAAAGAAATAGTCTTTATAGTGCATTTTTATGTTGATGTTGTATGATGGAAAATTGCCTTTTTGAAAAGGAAAGTGCCTTGTTTTTAGTCTGGTTAAGTGGATGGACAAAAGGTGTTACGAATTAGTGAAATAGGGACCAACCATGACCAAATCTAAATCCAAGGACCACGATAAACCATAGGGACCAATATATGTCCTTGTGATTGGCGAAAAAGAGCAATATATGTCCTGTTGTGGAATTTTGGACAAATTAGGTCATTTCCATGTTTAAAATGAACATGAAATGTCCTTTTGCTTTATGGTGTTAATTTGTTTAGTTAAGTCTCATGTGAATGATATATTTTGCCCTTCCTGTCACAAGGACCATTTATGTGATTTGTTCTGGCACATGGACCATTTATGTAAGTTTGTCTATTATTTATTATTGTTTTTATTTACATTTTTATGACTTGGATTCTTTTTAAAGTTTTGATTGAATATATTGTTTAATGTTTTTCTATGTTTTGTACTTAATTTTTTTTTTTTTTGACATTTTATTCGAATATATTTTTTAATATTCTTTTTACATTTTGTTTGTTATACCTTTTAAAATTTTTAGGGTCATTGTAATCATATGTAGTAACATAATTGAATTGCATTCATGTTTTTATTTTATTTTTGTTTTTCAAACATAGATAAGGTTATATAATTATTATATTTTAATTTAGATATTTAATTATATAACACAGATAAGATTATATAATTATTACCTTTGTAGAGCATTTTACAATTTTTTTTGTAAGATAAGTGTAAAAGTGATTGTTAAACGTGAATAGGTCTAACATAGGTTAGATAAAAAAAATATTCATTTTAATAAATTAATATATATGCTACCTAGAATCTAAAAACAAGTGTCAAGTTATATACAGGCAAATTGGAATATGTATAACTAAAAAACAAACATAATTTTATTCGTTTTAGAACTAGATGAATTTCGATTGGATTATGTATAACTTGACACTTGTTTTGGATTCAAAGTAGTCTATATATATATATATATATATATATATATATATATATATATATATATATATATATATATCCTGTTAAAATATATAATTTCATACATAATTTATATTAACCGTATTCATATTTAACAAACATTTTTAAACATAATTAAATATTTGAATTAAAAAATAATTATTATACAGCCACACATATCTTAAAAGAACGAATAAAAAGAAAATGTGATTGTTAGTGAATTATGTTACGACTTATAATTACACTAGCTTTAAAATCTTTAAAAATATAAAAATAAAATAAAACGTCAAAGACAAGATTAAAAAACACATTCGAATAAATTGTCAAAAAAAATATATGTGAACAAAATAGTAATAAAAACATTAAACAAAATATTTGAAAAAAAATGTCAAAAAAATCTAAATAAATAAAATAAAAACAATAATAAATAATATACAAAATCACATAAATAATCCCCACGACAAAAACAAATTACATAAATTATCTTAATCGTAAAAAGATAAATATGTTATTTCATATGAGACTTAATTAAAAAAGTTAAGACTCTTAATCAAACGGACCTCTGTGTTTATTTAAAATATAAAAATAACATCACGTGTCTAACATTCCTCACAGTGAGTGGTCTTTTTTTTGGACTAAATATGTAATTCTGTCAAAACTATATTAAAATATATTATTGATTTTAAATGAATTTTTTAAAAAGGAAATAATGAAGGTTGAAAGTTAAAGTATATCATTTGATGCATGGTTGTCAAAATCGTGTTCCTGATTGTAGGATCGTACGATCTTACGATCATAGGTATGAAAAACGATCCGGATCATAAACAGATCATATTTGAGGTAGGATCGTAGGATCGAGATCCGATCCGATCCTACCTTCCCTTGATTTTTACTTATTATTATTTATTTATTTATTTATTTTGCAAATGCAATTTTTTCCACTTTGTGTTTTCTTACCATTTACCGATTTACTGTTTATCATTTTGTATTGTGACTTATGATAATATTTTGAAGTTTTTATAACTTTTGAACGAAAAATTAAATGTTTTAAATATTTTTCATGATTAAAATTTATAAATTAAAATTATATTTTATTTTGTAGGATCTTAGGATCTCGATCCCGATCTTACGATCTCGATCTTGCAAACCCAAAAATGTTACGAATGATCCCGATCTTGACAACCTTCATTTGATATTTTCGACTTTCTCTTTTTTTCTTGACAAAGTATTTAATTTTCATGTTTAGGGTTTAGGGTTTAGAGATGTCTTTTTAGTGAATGATGTTAAACCCTTTAGGGTTTAGGGTTTAATGATGTTAATCTCATATAAATGATATATTTGTCCTTCTACCGTAGGGAACATTTATGTGATTTTGTATATTATTTATTATTGTTTTTATTTTATTTATTTAGATTTTTTTGATGTTTTTTTTAATATATTGGTTAATGTATTTTTATATTTTTTTATTTGATTGATCATATTTTTAGCCGTTACTCAAAAATATTTTTTTAATGTTTTTTGATGTTTTATTTATTTTTATTTTTATCTTTTTTAAAGATTTTGATTTCCATTTTTTTATATTTGGCCCTAATAGGATCTTGAGGAATGGTGATAAATGAACAATTATGTCTAAAAAGGGGTCCTTTATTTTCCAATCCCACCCCCTATTTGATCTTTTGTTTTTTATTGTTTTTTTTGTTGTCTTTAATTACTTTTAAATTTATTATTATTATTATTATTATTATTATTATTATTATTATTATAACAATAATAATATTAATATTAAAATATAAAACTAATAATATTAATATTAAAATATAAAAAATATTTAAAAACCGATTTTATATCGACGTTCGAATTTATAACGTCATCCGAATGTTAAAATTTTGTGCAAAATTTATAATAATAATATTAATAATAATAATAATAATAATTTGTGTAAAAAAGGAAAAAAAATAATGTTAAATCAAATGTCAAAAAAATTGATTTGATCGATTCAGAGAGGGTAAACTTAGATAAAAGGGGTATTATTAGGGCTGTAAACGAACCAAACGAACACGAACAAGGTCTTGTTCATGTTCGTTCGTTTAAGTTAGCCGAACAACAAACGAACACGAACGGATAAACGAACAAAACTTTCTTGTTTATGTTCGTTCGTTTAATAAATTACTTTGTTCATGTTCGTTCATTTATGTTCGTGAACATGTTAAACGAACATAAACAAACAAACATAAACGAACAAAGATAAAAAAAACACAATTGAACATATATGAACATAAATGAACATATAATATAGCAATATAATGAAAATTAATTGAATATAGATGAATATAAATAAACTTAAACGAACGAACAGAAACGAACGTAAACAAACATCTTAAACGAACGTTCACGAACATAAATGAACGAACGAGACCATTGTTCATGTTCGTTCGTTTAATTAAACGAACGATAATTTTTGTTCATGTTCGTTCATTTATTAAATAAACGAACATAAACGAACTTCCCACCGAACAGTTCGCCGAACGTTCAGTTCGTTTACAGCCCTAGGTATTATAGCACAACCCCTAAGAAAATGAACTTCTACGGATTAGCAACAAAAAATTAGCGACTACGGTTCCTACCACTTTTTAATGATCTCCGAATCAATTTTAGGTGGCTATTGATTGGCCTACTTTTAATCCTGGCCTACTCTCAATACTTGCTGCTGAAAAGTTATTATAAAGTGGGATTTGATTGACCTCCATATTCGAGAATTGCTACATAAAAGCTTAGAAGAAATCTCAAAAAAAATCTTAAACCTTTTTATAATAGAAAAAACATTCAGAAAGTGTAATCGGACAAATTGGATTGGTTGCCTTTTTTAACATTTTGTAATTCTTTTTCTTTCCTGGGCTTTGCGTTTTTGGCTATGGTTTAATTTTTTTTCGCCGTTTATATATATATATATATATATATATATATATATATATATATATATATATATATATATATATATATATATATATATATATAAAGAGACAGAGAAAGAGAGGTAAAGGTTCAAATGAGAACCAAAAAAGATTAAGAACCGTATGAACCACTTATTTTGATATATTCTTTCAAACTTATTTTACAAGAAAACTTTCCAAACTCTCTCACACTCTCCCAAAAACACTTTCATCTTTTATTATATATTAGCTTTACACACTACACAAATTCTATCTTCTCTCTCATCTCAAACTTGAAGAACACATAAACATTGCCACCAGTTGCCACCAGCCACCACCCCTTGCTGTCGCCGCCTCCGACCACCGACGAACCACCGCCATCAGATCCACAAGCTCCGGTTGGCTCCAGATCTACAATTTCAGCTTCAGATCTACAATTTTTAGCTTCAAATCTACAACTTTCAGCTACAGATCTACGATTTTCGTTTTCCGATCTACGACTTTCATCTTCAGACCTACAATTTTCATGTTCAAATCTACGACTTTCTTCTTCAAAACTACAATTTTTGTCTTAAAATCTTCCATTTTCTCCTCCAGATTTATGAGCTCTGGCGAACTCTGATAACCACCACCTTCATCAATCACTGTCTTCGCCAACAAAAACACGAATCTGACAAGATATGATGAAATTACTTCCATATCCACCGTTGATCGCCATCTTGTCTAAGATCTAGAGTCATGAAATTGTTCAGCTTCACTTTCCCTCTCTAAAATGCAAAACATCTTAGTTCTAGTGCGATTTGGTCAAAGCTGATACCACCATCATCACTGTCAACTTCGTTTCCACCATTGCTACCACTACTGATGTCACACCACAACCTTCTACTGTCGACATCATGTTCAGATCTAGTTAGTTCTCGTGTGTATGGTTCAATTTTTCTAGATCTGGTTTATGTTGTGTTATTTCATGCATATATCTGAAACTATAATAATGGTACCGGTAGCTGATGGTGGTTCCACTACCTTAGATACGTTCCAACACCGTTACCTTCTCCATCTCGTTCTCTCTGACCTCCAGTGAGACACATCAGGTATGCCGATTTTTATTTTTATTTTTTCCTTCTGTTAAACTATGAATTTAATGTTTTAGTATATCATTTATTGTTTATTTATGTTAATAATAGTCTTTTATGTTGTTAAGTTGGGGATCTATGCTTTTTTTTTTCTTATTTGTTATAAGATAAGCATCAAATTGTTATTCATAGTTTATGTTTGTTGATTGTTATACTGTGAATTAAAACTTAAAAGATGTATTATTATGTTGTGAATTATGATTTTTAATGTTTCAACTATTATTCAGTTATGTTAAAGTTCGTTTTAACTGTGAATGAGTGAATTGATATGGTTTTAAGTAGTGAATACTATGAAAGAAAGTCCTACACTATTTTTTGTTTGTTTTTTTTTATTAAAGTGTGAATTTGATGTCTTAATCTCTCATTTGTCATATGATTTTGTTAATCTTAGTTTTAACTCTTATTAAGTTGTGAATGTATAATTTTTTTTGAATTAACTTTGAATTTATTATACTAGTTTGTGAATTTTATATTTTAAATTGTGTATTAATTGTACTAAGTGTTTTAAGTTGATAATATGGATGTGAATACTACTTTTGGTGTATGAAAATGTGAATTTAGTGTACTAAGCTGTGATTTTTGTGTTTTAAATTGTGAATTGATTGCATTAAGGTTTAAATTTTCTTTTTGAACTACGAATTGACTGCATTAAGCTGTGAATTTTCTGTTTGAATCGTAAATTGACTAGATTGAGCTGTGAATTATGCGTATGAAAGTATGAAGTTATTTGTATTAAGCTATGAATTTTGTGTATAAACTTTGAATTGACTACATACAGAGTGTTAAGTTGAAAATATGGTTGTGGATGAATACTTTTTTTGTATTAAACTTTGAACTTTGTGTACTAAACTGTGATTTTTGTGTTTTAAAGTGTGAACTGACTGTATGAAACTGTGAGTTTTCTTTTTATACTATGAATTGACTATATTAAGCTGTGAATTTTGTGTATTAAATTATGAATTGATTGTATTAAGTTGTGAATGAGTTGACATTAAGCTGTGACGATTTTATAATTTTTTTGGTTGCTTTTGAAATAATGTAAATTTTATTCACAATAAATTCACAATTTAAAATATGAATGATGTAAGTATAATTTTTTTTGTTAATTTTTCTTCTTAATATATTTATTTTTTGTGTTGTATAAGTATTTAAGAATATAATAGTTTAGATAATAGTTTTGCATTAAATTAAAAATGAGTTAAAGAAATAGTTTTATTAGATTGTGAATGTACTATTTAAGTTATTAATGCATGACTTTATTTACAATTCTGATTTAGAAGAAAATGATGGTTGTGATGCTAGTACAGGTGGTTAGTGGTAGCGTATGGTGGTGGTATTAGTAGAGTTTGAATTTTTGATTTCTTTGAGTTTGTGAATTATTGTAAAATGATTTGTATTAAGTTGTGAATTTTGCGAATTAAACTATAAATAGACTGTATAAACTTGTAATTTATATAAGTTTTGTGTTCAAATATGAGAGCATATAAGAATGAAAATATTATACCACAAAATTACAATTTTGTCTTTTTTGTATCAAAAAGAGAAAAAAAAAAGATTTTCAAATGTTTAATAAGAATATCATGTAAATATTTACTAACTAATGGGGGGTTGTTAGAGTTCTTAATCTTTTGTGGTTCTCATTTGAACCACTCCCTATATATATATATATATATATATATATATATATATATATATATATATATATATATATATATATATATATTCTTTTTTTTTTTTTTTAATTCAAGGAATGAGATTTGAACCTACGACTGTCATATATGTATCATGAAGAATCAACAAACATATTATCAACCGAACCAAGATAGTTGGTTACCAATATGTTTGGTTGGTAGTATCATACCAATTAAATAAACTTGTTGCAATAATGGTTTTAAATTTTGAATATCACAATATTCCCGTAACAACCAATATATATATATATATATATATATATATATATATATATATATATATATATATATATATGATCGAATGAGAACCAAAAAATTAGGAACTCTAAGAAGTAAGAACCACTTTATTTTAGCTTATATTATGTGTATTTTTTTGTTAATTCCAAATATTTGACTTTTTTCTATGTTTTGATAAATAGAAAATAAAAACAATAAGGGCATTATAGTCATTTTGATAAGATAAACATTAAAATAACATATATGTATAAAATCTAAATCATATTTTTAAATAATGTCTGATACTTTAGAAACGAATATCTAAAACTCTCTTAAGTTCTCCCAATAAACTTGAAGAACACACATAATGTAACACCGTAAAATTTAAAACTAATTTTTCATTTCAAAACAAAAATAAACATATGTCACATTTCCTCAAAATCACTAGTAATAAATTATCAACACATTTTTTTATTTAAAATTGTTTATCACAATCTAGGATCCTTCAAACATAACTCTTTCTCTCGTGTGTACAATCGAGCCGGCGCCTTCCCGATATCATGAAAAGTACCTGAAACACATATGGCATATCACATAACACGGTAAGCATGAAGCTTAGTGAGTTCCTTAAAATACCACACACATCTCAGTAGCCTCTCTTGGCTATACTCAGATAAAACCCTCCAGTCAATGTGTCTCAATGGGACCATCCAGTCCTAACTCGAGAAGTTCACATTAATAATATTCAGCATAAATCACAAAGACATAATACATAATATCACAATACATAGATAATCACATAAGACATCTCGGTCGCACAAGGATACCACACATGGTAAGTATAGCGAGAAGACTCACCTTGAAAGCTAACAAGTAATAATCTCGCACACGGAAATCTCGAACTAGCCTCCGCCTATCACATAGGATAAATATCTCTAATTACTACTCTATTCATACTCAATACCAAAGGTTGCCCTATCTTTCTCTTTCTGACTCTTGGATTGGGTAAAAGACCATTTTACCCATCCATGGTCTCCATTACTCATGTATGACCAAACCCTAAAGTTAACAAAAGTCAAACTCGATTCAATAGTCCATGTTTGATCCGACTTACCGAGCGCATCTATGTGACTCGGCGAGTCCCCTTGTCTCTTTTGGCATATTGCGAAAGTCCACCTTGACTCGTCGAGTTGTCTCACCAACTCGCCGAGTCACCCATGTCTAGACTCATCGGGGAAAAACCCCAGCTGACTCGTTGAGTTAGCTCATAGACTCGGCGAGTCCCTTCAATCTGAGTTCTCATTCAGACGATTCAAAGCAGCTCTACTACTCCATACACTAGATCTAGCATCCCAAGACTCCATTGTCACGTAAATCTTCAATCTTTACATTCATGCATGGTAGTTTTTGCTCCAACATACCAAAACATGCTCTCACAATGTGTTAAGAAAAATATCCTTCATATGGGTGAATAAAGTTAGGACCTTTGGACTCTAGGGACCTCTCAAGGTCCATATATGAGGTTTAAACCTTAAGACAACTTTGTAAGCTCGAGATCCCAAATAAAGGTGGCATAACCCTAACCTTCTAAAATCAAGAGATCTAAGCATAAGAATGATAAAGGTATGAACTTTTCACCTTTTGTAGTAGCTCTTGGATGACAAGCAACAGATCTACCAACCTCTTCTCATTCCTTGCTTGAATTCCTTCTCTTCCCCTCCAAATATGCACCAAAATACTCAATATAATCTCAACCTTCTCTCTCTTAGCTCAAAAAGGCGACTAGGGGTTTTCTCAGTGAAGTTGGGCAACTCATGAGCCGCAAACGGGGTTATAAGTTCCCTCATATTGGCCCCAAACCCGAGGATTTAGGGTTTCACTACACAACACCTACACATCGAGTCGGCTCTCCGACTTGTCGAGTCCGCTCATTAAACCCACGTAGTTAACTCGAATCTACTCGATGAGTTGGACTCACAACTCGTCGAGTCACTCAATAAACCCCAAAATAAACACACCATTCATATACCTAGGATTCCGGATGTTACACTTCTCCCCCACTTAAATTAGATTTCACCCTCGAAATCGCTCCTTAGCAACACATAGATCAAACCCAATAACCCGCGAAACACCACCGAAAGGATCTCATACCACACAACTATCTTCCTCCAAGGACACCTGAACCCAAACAGGAGCTCCCAATCCTGAATAAGCACAGAATCATCTGTCATTACAATACCCGATCTGACTCTCCAGAACCTGGAAAACCCTAGTGGTCTGTCTCCCTGCTAGATTGCCCTCGCATGATATCACCATGCTTATCGTTTCTAGAATCACAAACCCAGATCACTCACTGCCCCTCTGATTCTCTTGTTGCGACTGATAGAATTGAGTTATTGGCCGATAATTGGCTACCAATCACTCATACCAGATATACTAATCAATCCAGTTGTCACACCCCAAAACCGGTAATAGCGGAAATACGTTTCGGGGTGGAGGACGTCATGTACAGTATCATCACAATTGTATAATAGTAAAAACAAGAAACATGCAACCATTTCATTTACATAGTGAGTTTAATTACAAGTGTGTTCTGTAAAGTTCAACAAACACCGAAAGTATACAAAGATAAGAGATGGATCTTGTATGCTCCACCTTC